GATTAGTTGAAACATGTTTAGATTTGTTGTGATGTATTTACAGATGTGCAACAATCCCATTTTGTACAGTTTGTTTACTTTCTGATTCAACTGCTTGACGTTTGAACTGTGTTCGGTGGATATAAAAATAGTTTCCATGAGCTTTTAGTGAAGATTTTTAGGTTTGTATTGATACCAAACAGGTCCAGGTTGTGAAGGTGACCACAGGTCAGACCTGCTCCGGTCCTTTCAGCTCCAGGAAAACTTTCATCCTCAGAACCTCAAAGGTTCTGCTGGTCTGACTGACGTCTCTCAGGGTTTTATTTTCTGTCTGGTTTTCCTCCTGCAGCTCAGAAAGCAGCTCTGATCGTGTTCGCTCACCAGAGTCAGTCGTCCTTCAACGCCGCGGCCCGGGACGTGGCGGTCCAGGAGCTGACGGAGCAGGGCTTCAGGGTCACCGTGTCGGACCTGTACGCCATGAAGTTCAGAGCCGAAGCCACACGGGACGACATCATCGGTGACGTCACCTCACAGGCTTACAGAGACGTGTTTGCAGTGTSAAGAATACAGCGGGCTGTGAAMGTTTGGGCAGCCTTGTTAATTGTCCTGATTTATCTTTATAAATCATTGATTGTTTGGATAAAATCATTTAAATATATCATATAGAGGACAAACACAGGGATATTWGAGAAGTGAAATGAAGTTGATATGATTTACAGAAAGTSTGCAATAATTGGTTAAAYTAAATTAGGCMGGTGMMTAAATTTGGGCACCATTTTCATTTTATTGATTTCAAAACCTTTAGRACTAATTATGTGAACTTAAATTAGGTTYGKTAAGTTCAGTGACCYTTGACCTCCAYACACAGGTGACTCCAGTTATSAGAAAGGGTATTTAAGGGGGGCAATAGTAAGTKTTTCTCCTCTTTGCATCTTCTCTGAAGAGTGGCAGCATGGGAGTCTGAAAACAAGTTTCAAATGATCTGAAAACAAAGATTGTTCAGCGTCATGGTTTAGAGGAAGGATACAGAAAGATATCTGAGAGATTTCATCTTTCAGTCTCCACTGTGAGAAACATTGTGAGAAAATGTTAGACCACAGGCACAGTTCAAGTGTAGGCTCCAAGTGGCAGACCAAGACAAATCTGGAATAAACAGAAGTGAAGGATGTTAAGAGTCAGAG